TGAACTTAAGTGGGCAGAACACTTCGTAATCTTACATGACAAAATATTTGTTTTTATAATATATGACTTGGATAAAAATTATTATTTTTTTATACTAAATAACTTAGGTTCGGATTACCATATATACACATATTTAATATATTTAAATCATCACGTATAAATCTATTTATTATCTTCTGTCTACACTGCATATAATCTTACTTTCCAAATTTTGTTCTTTGTTCATATTACTTTCTCATGTGTTTTAAATAAAAATATTATAAATAAAATTAATGATGTATATGAATTAGTTTTAAGGATTTAAAATAATATTATTAATTCATTTACTTATTTATTATAAATTGTTATATTTTGATCTTTATTTATTTTTTCAACTTCAACATTTTTTTTTTTTTGTTTTTATTGTATATTTAACTATTTTATCAATTACCAAGATAGTATATGGGTATTGTACTAGCATACATTACACTTATTGATAACATCAACTCTATAATAATTGAAAGAGGTTGTTGTATTTATTGTTTTAGATTTTTTTTTTTTGTCAAATCTTTTTGATTTTCCAATTTAAGAAATTCTGTAATTAATTTAACATACGTAGGTCATTATTTTACGGAATTTTTTATTTATTTGTTATTTTTTCTTACTTTTTTTAAGTACAAACATGTTAAATTTAACAGATTCAATTTAAATCTTTTACGGAATATTTTCTAATTTATTGCTCTCTTTTTTATTTCCAAGTTTTACTTAAAGTTGTAACAATGTAATCTATACGTATTTCCTACATTACTTATCAAATAAAATATATGCGTCAAACTAAAAAAAAAAAAAAAATAAAAAAAATGCAAATCTTGAATTACCAATTGGAATTTTATTAAAGTATTTTCAAATTTAATTATTTCACTTATGCGTCGGTATATATATAAAAAATAGAAAATGTGAATTACCATTTAGATTTTTATGAAAGTATTTAAAATAAAATTGCAAATCTTGAATTAGCAATTAGAGTTCTATGAAAATATTTTTAATTTGTGTTACTTTTTTTTACGCGTAGATTTATAAAAATAATATTTTAAAATGTGGATTTGATACGAGAGAGACAAGGCGAGGACTGTGGTAAAAATATCTCAATCGGATGATGCAACTCTGTATAAACAAAGAATATATATACAAAATTAGGGCTACAGATAATCTAAGGCTAATACGGTAAATACACAAATATACACAATAACACACCCCCTCAAGTAGGAGCATGTGGATTCCGAATGTCCAACTTGTCATGAAAGAAATCAAATCCACGCTTGCCTAGAGCCTTGGTGAAGATATTAGCGAGCTGTTCCACAGAAGGAACATGAGTAGTAGAAATGAGACCCTGAAAAACAACATCTCGAAGAAAGTGGCAGTCCACTTCAATGTGCTTAGTGCGCTCGTGAAAAACTGGATTCGCCGCAATATGCAGTGCATATTGACTGTCACATTGTAACCGCATAGGCTGCGAGTGAACGACTCCAAGAGTAGATAACAGTCTTCGCAACCACTTCAACTCACATAGGGTAATAGCCATCGCCCTATATTCAGCCTCAGCAGAAGAGCGTGCCACAGTAGGTTGTTTCTTACTTCGCCAAAAAACAAGAGACTTACCCAACTGAATAAACCAACCAGAAGAGAGCGCCGGGTGAGAGGGCAAGACGCCCAATCCGAATCACACCATGCATAGAGTTGAAGATCGCAGTCAGTACGAAGATGCATCCCCTGACCAGGAGAGCCTTTCAAATATCGAACCACATGTAGAGCAGATCCCAATGAGCCTGACGTGGTTGATGCATAAATTGAGAGAGCAATGCACCGAGTAAGATAACTCAAGTCGAGTCACTGCCAAATAGATAAGACGTCCGACTAAACGATGATATCGCTCGGGATCAGACAACAGATCACCCTCAACAAGTGGAAGCTGATGATTGTGCTCTAATGAAAAATCAACTGGCTTGCTCCCTAGTAATCCGACCTCAACTATGATGTCAAGAGCATAGTTCCGCTGACAAAGAAAGAAGCCAGAAGAATTTTGGGCAACCTTGATACCCAAAAGACACTTAAGCTACCCAACATCCTTCATGTGAAAACAATGACTCAAGTAACTCTTGAAGGACGCAATGGATATGGTATCATTCCCGGAAACAATCAGATAATAAACATAGACCAGGACCTGCAGATGTACAGAACCACGATGCAGAGTAAAAAGAGAGTAGTCGTGATAGAACTGACAAAAATCATACTGCTTCAAAGCCGCAGACAACTTGGCAAACCAGCAGTGGGGAGCCTGCTTCAAATCATAGAGGGCACGACGAAGACGGCAAACCTGCCCATCAACGCCAGAGCGAAAACTAGGGGAAAACTTCATGTAAACCTCCTCAGCCAAATCACCATAAAGAAATGCATTGTGAACATCCATCTGGTGAATTTCCCAATGCTTAGCAGCTGCCACAACCAAGAACAACCGAACTGTAACCATTTTGGCGACGGGAGCAAACATCTCCTGATAGTCAAGACCTTCAACCTGATTATTGCCCAAAATCACTAGACGCGCTTTATAGCGCTCAATAGAATCGTCAGACTTATGCTTGATCTTAAAAACCCACTTGCACCCAATCGCACACTTCCCAGATGTAAGAGAAACTACATCCCACGTGCCATTATTCTCCAAGGCACGAATCTCATCCTACATAGCGGCTCACCATCGAGGATCAGTCATGACATCATCAAAAGTGTGAGGCTCAGTAGCGGAGGTGACATCAGCCAAAAAAACTCAATGAGCTGGAAAGGATGAATCACAAGAAACATAATGTGCTATAGGATAAGGCGTACCGGAGAATGGAGAAAACTAGGAAGAAATAGTGGGGGGTACAGTAGAGGGTCGAACAGTGTCAACCACAAAATCTTTCAGCCAAGTGGAAGGAACCGTAGTCTGATGACCACGACCCAAGGGCTCCACTGGAAGAGTGACAGGGGTAGTGGTAACAGAACCCCCCTATCGGCAGACGTGTCCATATTAGTAGCAGAAGACCCAGTATTAGGAGAAACATTAGGCAAGGCGACAACCGGAAGTTCTGCATCATCATCCGGTGCAGATAAAACCGGCACAACAAGTGGCGGTGGCAAAGAGTCTGGCTCAGACGAGTCTGACTGATATGGGAATTCAGTCTCAAGAAACTCCACATCACGAGAGACAAAGAAACTCTGCCGATCCAGATCATACAAACTCCACCCCTTTTTGCCAAATGGTAACCGACAAATAGACAACGACGACTCCGAGCAGAAAACTTGTCACCATTACGACCTTGGATATGAGCATAACAAAGGCAACCAAAAACGCGCAAATGAGACAAGTGAGGAGCCAAACCATAAAGAACCTCATACGGGGTTTTACCATGTAAAACTGAGGAAAGAGTCCGATTTATCAAATAGACCGCAGTCAAAACACGATGACCCCAAAAAAGAAGAGGCATATGAGTCTGGAAACGCAAAACACGAGCTACATTTAGAATATGCTGATGTTTACATTCCACACGCCAATTCTACTGAGAGGTGGTGCCTACGCAAGAAGTCTCATGCAAAATCCCTTGACGATGAAAATAAAAGGCCAAACACATGAACTTAGTTCCATTATCACTGCGAACAACACACACCAATTTATCAAATTGTCGCTTAATCATAGAGAAAATATTCAGAAATATGGAAGCAACCTCCGTCTTATCATTCATTAAATAAACCCATGTCCCACGAGAATAATCATTCACAATAGTTAAAAAAATATCGTGCAGCACAGAAGGATGGAACACGATACGGACCCCACAAATCACAATGAATCAAATGAAATATCTCATGACTAATAATCCGATTGAGAGGAAAACTACGACGATGTTGTTTAGCATGAAAACAAGCATCATATGGTTTATGCAAATTACGATAACTAGAATCAATAACAGGAACCTGGGACAGTACTTGAGCAGACGGATGACCCAAACGTTGATGCCACACATTGGTAGAAACCTTTCGAACACAAAAATTAACTGCCGTAGAAACCGCCCCTCAAAAGAAGTAGAGACCCCCTAACTGTTCACCTGCGCCAATCACTTTCTGCGTAGTGTGGTCCCGAATAACACAGAATTTGTTAGTTTACTGAGCGATGCAGTTGGAACAATCCAGCAATTGATATAATGAAATCAAGCTGCACCGAAGATTGGAACATATAAATCATTATAAAGAGTGATATGAGATCCCAAATAAACAGTCCCAACCTTGCTAGCCATAGTCAGTGAACCATTAGGCAATTGAACAGGACGGGAGGGAATATCTCGAATATCGGAAATAAACTCCAGGAACCCTGTCATATGATGAGTTGCCCCGTAATCGTACATCCAATTAAATAAACCACACATACCAGACAAGGGATTATTTTGTTTAGCGGGATTAACCAAATACACAAAGTGAGCCCATTGCTCATTGGTTAAACCGCCAAGTGCAAGACGATAAGAATCACTCAAAACTCCACTAGCAATGGAAGAATCAACAGAACCGACAACAAATGAATCACCGATACCACTGCAGAATGCCGCGTTCGCACGAGCACCACTCTTGAAGCGAGCTCCACCACGGCGGCCACCACCCAGACTATAATCGCGGCCACCACGGGTACCAGAACCAGATGATGAAGAATCAACCATGAAAAAAATTGTCGGAGAAGGGTTGTACCGACTGAAAGAATCAACCTCTTTTTATTTTTATTTTTTTATCGAGCAAAAACGTTGGGTATTAGATGCTTACCAAGTAAACAATGCTGCAACAGCCTTTGAACAAATTGCCCAACAACTCAATGAACCACACTTTTTTTTTTAAATAAAGAAAACAAGAACGCTCAATAAAAAACAACCTTTAGGCTTTGAAATAATTCTCCACAAACCTAATCAAGAAAATCAAGTAGCAACCATTTTTTTTTTAATTGCAGACGACAACCAGTGCTCCCTTTGTTACAAAAAGTAGTGTTTGAATACAATAGGAACCTATGAACTGTCTAAAGCGTTCAGTTCGTACAAGAAGAACTAA